GGTATTATCCAATCCATAGCATCTGAATGAAAAGTGTTAGTGCAGCTCATGTCTAGGGCTGAAGCAAGGAAATGGTTTGGAGAGGTTGTCCCGGCATTGGCAAATTTGCTTTTGCGGTTGCCCTCCCTGTTAGAATTGCACTATCAAAACGCCGACGCCCTTATTAATGGAGTCAGAGATGGAGTCAAAACTGGTCTTCGTCTACTGCATTCACAAGAAGCAGGAATCGTGTTCCTCAGCCAGGTATCTATATCCTTCATGAATCTTTGCTTTTTTATCTTTCGCTCCCATATGCCCGGACAACCATAACCACTCACACGCATCACAGCATGGTTTGAATCAAAACTTATACTAAGAGGCATCGGTACTTGAAATGTACCCTCTCTTTTTTCAATGTCATACAACCTGGTGCGGCAGAAACTGAACATGCATAGTAAATGAGTAGCATTTTCTATTGGAATAAGGGAAAAAAAAAAGAATGTAATAGAACTTCTGAAAAATTGTAAATTATTTATTTATTTTATTTTTATGCGGATATTTCGTGTCCGATCTCTGCCAATGCAAAGGTTTATCTTCTATATAGATCTATACTCACATTTGAGTTTAAGTGGTCTTATCTAGGGAAAATCAAGTGATTATTTATTTTTTCATTATTTCGGAGACTAATTCAAATATCCCTTATGATTTTGTGGTATGTTTGACGCTTGTTTTCTGTCATATGCTAAAAACTAGTTCTGAATACTTCTTTCTTTACTTTGTTATAACTTCTTTTTTTTGCGGTATTACTTTGCTGATTATTGTCTATGTTCTTTTCAGGAACTAATTAGTGCTCTTCTTGGGTGCTCTTTATTTTGTTTGTTCCCAATCAATAATAGAGGTGCCAAACATCTCCCAACGATCAACTTCGACCTTTTGTTTACGTATGTGACCTTTGCTTTCTTATGCGTCACTTGTATCCTTTGTTCAATTTTTTTTTTTTTGGGTCACAGATGTTTGTCTATAAATACTGGGTTTGGGGTTTCCAATTTTATGCTAGATATCTCGCCATAATGTTTTAAGAGATATCCTGTCACCCATTTCGTATACAGCATCACTAGATATCTACTTCTGTTATTTTACTTAAATATACTTACCACTTGAAGTGTATTTTCAGGACTTTATATGACAGTTATAATGAAAAACAGGAGAATAAGATAAGGTGTATTATACACTATTTTGAAAGGATAAGTTTCCATATGCCTAAGGGTTATGTCTCATTTGAGCGGAAAGTACTTCCTCAGGAACATGGTCCTCTAAGCATTTCTTACCCCAAGGCTAGTTTCTGGAGCAATTCAGCCATTCCTCTCTGCCGTTTTGAGGTAATACATGACTAGCTGTGTTACATAATAAGCCTCTAGTTACATGCAGATGAATTGGTTTCCCCTTTTTATTTTCCTAATTCAGTTTAGCAATAGAAAATAACCTGTTAACAAGTCTTTTCATATCATTCTAGGTTCACAGTTCAGGCTTTATAGAAAATCAATCAAGTGGAGCTCTTGAAGTCGACTTTGCAAACAAGTATATAGGAGGTGGTGCTCTTCATAGGGGCTGCGTACAGGTGTGATTCGTTATATATTTTACCTACGTTTGCATTCTGGCTATTTTAAACTATATTTTTATTTGTTTAACCTTTTCTTGAATCACGCAGGCCATGATCTAACTGCAGAAGCACCTAATTTTATTTGTTATTATCGTCTCACGTAGGAAGAGATCCGTTTCATGATCAATCCTGAATTAATTGCTAGCATGCTGTTCATGCCTTCCATGGCAGATAATGAGGCTATAGAAATTATTGGTGCAGAAAGGTTTTCAAATTATACAGGGTGAGTACTGATAGCCTATTGTTTGCTTATTTCTTTGTATCAGAAAATATTAATGTATATGTTTTTCTTAGAGAAGTTGAGCATATGTTGTTCATACATGCATGTGTGGAGACATATACTTACTCAAATTTGGTTATTTCTTAAACTTTATGTATGCATTAATTCTATGAGATGGCAGGGGATTTTCTAAGTATTAACTTGAATATCTAAACTTCACTTATTTAACTTGGTTACTATTGCTATTGATTTCCGAATGTGTCACCATCTTTTTAAGTTGTGTAGGTATGCTTCTTCCTTTCGTTTTTCGGGTGACTATGTGGACAAAAGGGATACAGACTCTCTTAGAAGACGTAAAATCAGAATTATTGCAATAGATGCGTTATGCAGCCCGGGGATGAGACAGTACAAACAAAAGTTACTCCTCCGGTATGTATATTTTACTTCAGCTCACACATATTACTAGAAACATATGGAATTCAATGGAGAATAAGACAATATAATTCAAACTACTACATAGAATGGGGTTTCCATGCAGTTTTGATCTTTTGAACAGTCTTACTTCCAGAACAGAAATCCATGATCTATCTAGTCAAAGACTTTTTTCATTGTTTCATTCTAATATGTTCCCTGTAACTTCCAGGAAGGCTTCAAGCCTAAACTGAAATTCCCGTTAAATCCAAATTACTATTATTGGAAACTCTTCACAGGAAAAGAGTAGCACACCTAAACCGTGGTTTTCTTTTTTTGTTGTAATTCCAAATCCTTGCCTTAAATTTCTCAGTGATGTTTGAATATGTTGGATCATTATCCCAATTGTGTAGATTTCAGATCCTTCGTATAACATTTTCTTAATCCGAAATTTTATCTCTCCTACTTGTTGGTTCCTACAGGGAGAATAATAAGGCATTCTGTGGTTTTTTTCATCAATCAAAATATCAGCAGTACAAGAGATTGTTTCGAGAGAGCGGGTGTTCTGGAATTCAGCCGCATTCAGATGTTAAAGACTCCAATGACGTGTACAGTAATAATCTTTTGGTATGAGTTTTCTATCAGTTTCATCTTGGTTTGTGCGTGTGTGTGTGTGTTAGGTGATGCTTTACATTTAGAAATGATATTGCATTACTAACTTTAGCTGAGTTCCTAATGTAGGATTTTTTTTTTTGAAGTTTATGTTTGGTTTAGCAGTGTCCAAACTTGCTCTTTCCACTTTGAAATTTGTTTGTTTCGAATTTTTACATTTGCTTTTCTATAGAGTCATGAAGCTAGAATAACTTCTGTTGAAACGTGTGGAGGAAAATCTGTACACAAAGTGATCATAGATTCTGAGGAGATCCTGTCTCTTGATAATGAGGATGATGTTGGGATTGCAACTGGGAATTGGGGATGTGGTGCTTTTGGAGGAGACCCTGAAGTGAAGACCATAATTCAGTGGCTTGCTGCCTCTCAGGTAGTTTTATCTTAAGCCTTCAAAAGGCAATTAAATGGGATTCTGTGTCATCTTTAGCTTACTCGGACAATATTCACTAGGATTCTATGTATGTGTGTAAATAAATATAACAAAGGATCAGTGACACAAAATGACTATTATCTGGGTGCATTTGTTTCAGGCACTAAGACCTTTCATTTCGTACTACACATTTGGCATGAAGGCATTGCAAAACCTAGACCAGGTATGTAATTTTCATTGGCTCCACACCCAACTCATGCTAAGCCTTTATTCCTTTGTATAGTTTTTTTCTTTTTTCTTTTTATTAATTTTTTCACTTTGTCTGAAGTAGGTAACTCAATGGATACTGTCACATGAATGGACAGTTGGTGATCTCTGGAATTTGCTGGTGGAGTACTCATTGCAGAGATTGAAGGGAGAGACTAATGATGGATTCTTTACTTGGCTCCTTCCATCTCTACTTACCCATGATACTGAGATGTTGGATTCACCTATAATGTCTTAAAACTTGCTGCTTGTATTGGCTTGTTGATCTAGTTATTTATGTAGAACGTTGCATTTTTGGCTTTTTACTTTTGTGTTGTTTGCCTGGTTTCCTAGTTGTTGATATGCATAATGCCTTTCTTTCTTTGCATTTTAGGGTAGGCTGTGACAGATCGTTTTCATGGCGAATGCATCGTAATGACTAATGAGGTTGCGTGAGTTTGGCGAAGGGTATAGAAGGCTTTGTCGCATGTTCGCTGTCACCCCTAGTCAAGAACATAATAGGACGTCTCCCATTGTTTCATAGAGACAAAGAGGGAGACGATAAGAATTAAATCAATATAAAATGGTAAAGATGGGACAGAGAAAAAAATGTGGTATGATTTCTGCAAGGACCCAAAGACAATGGCATCATCAATTTAGTTGTCAGATTAATAAAAAAATTGTAAGAGCTTGTAGTTTAAGTGATTAAAAGCACTTAAATTAGCAATATGATACCAATAGCACTACTCTTAAAATTATAATAAAAACTTCATTGATTCTTTCTTTTTTGTTTTAATGATTGATTCTTATAAATGCTAAGGTGAAGGTTAACTATGGTTAGTTAGTAGGAGCATCTACAATCATGCTCCCTATTTTCTAATTAAAATTTAACTAAAAACACACATAAGTTATTTTAGGTGCACTCTATAAAATTTGAACTTCAATCATACTCTCTAGTTTAGAGAGTTATAAATACTAAAATTATTTTTTAATTAAATATGATTGGTCCATTTCTATAAAAAAAAAATAGTTAGTATGAATTAAAAGTTTAAACTATGCATAAAACAAAGCAGCATTAAATTATAGGGAGCCACTAAGAGTTCTTTCTCTCTCCTCATATTTAAGAACTCCTCGAGGTCTCCTTATTTTAGGAAGTAGATAGGGAGCATAGTTGAAGTTGTATTTTTCCAATTCATCTCTAAAAGTTGTCTAAGAAGGTGGTTTAGAAAGTTCATGTTATGCTTTAAGAATGGCGATGATCTACACTCGAATTAAGTTGGCGAGAAAAATGTGGAGGCCTAAAGTGGCGGCAGGAATAAAAAACAAGTAGGAAGAGGGCCTAAACCCAAACTGGCGGAAAAGTCGAAAGTGGAGGCCCAAATAAAGTTGCAGCTTATCTCATGGGCTATTTTATTTTAAACATCCATCTTCACTGCTCTCTTTTCCGACGGAGCTTTTTTTCCCTTTGGTTAACAGTAACCATCCACGTTACCTTATCTTTGCGGACACTGCTTTGGCATATGGGGTTTTAGGCTCTTAGTTGCTGCTGGGCTGGGGTTTGGTTTCTGATGCCAAGCTCATCTCATCTGTGTCAAAATAGGAAAGAAAGAAGACGAAGGAACATCATCAGGTTAGTCAGTTTTTTCTTGTTATTTTTGTTCTTCAATTCCTGTTCTTACAGAGATGGAATGAATTGGATTGGATATGTACCATATGAATTGTAATGGAGACGACTGACTGAGGACAGAAGAGAGAACTCTCTGAATGAATTAAACTTGTGTTTTGTCTGCCGTATAAGTATATGCATTTTGATTCTCTAGCTGCCATTTACTGTGAATCATTACATTACTAGTTACCAATTGTTTGCTTTTTCAGATATCTGCAACTGATTGTGTGTTGAAATGACTCTACAACATACCCTGAGGCTTCCATATCTCTTCTCATCACCAGAACAGAACAAATTCATAGTACCCCTTTCATTAGCTTCTTTAGGTCCTCAGTCTCAAGACATTCGAGCTAATGAAAACAGAATATGGATGAAGAACACCAGTGTACCAACACATGGTGGTGGTAGCTCCAAAGTAACTAGATTGTATGCTTCTAAAACTGTTGAGAAGGTCGGCTCCGATGAAGAAAAGGGAGAGCCGTTTAAACCGTTTAATGACTCTGATGAGGAGGACGAACCTTGTTTAGGTGACAAAGATGATCCCTATTTGATGGGTTCTGAAGAGAGACGCGAGTGGAGAAACAAAATTAGACAAGTTTTAGATACCAACCCTGATGTTGAAGAGGAGTTAGACCCTATTGAAAGGACGAAGAAGGTGCAACAACTTCTGGCCAATTATCCTCTTGTTGTGGAGGAGGATGATCCTGAATGGCCTGACGACGCGGATGGGCGGGGTTTCAAGTTGGATCAATTCTTTGACAAGATTACTATCAAGAATAATACGGCAAGAAAGGATGACAATGATAATGATGATAGCGACAATGAAATAGTGTGGCAGGATGATAATTACATTCGTCCCATTAAAGATGTAGTAACTGCAGAATGGGAAGAGACTGTTTTCAAGGACATCAGCCCTTTAATCATTCTTGTACATAATCGCTATAAAAGGTATGTTTTTCCTTTTTTTTTCTTCTTTTTTATTTATTTCTTGCTATGTTACCTTATCCTTGTTAACATTTATGATTTCAGCACCTTGTTTCCAAATTATAGTTCTTTATTACGAAGTTAGGATATTCAAAGAGGCCTCCAACCAACCAATGGTTGTTGATATCATCTGACAGTTCCAATCCTGGACACTGCCCAATTTGGAGCTCTTTCATGACACTGTATTTATGTTATATTTGCTATGAGAAAATTGTTATATCATATTAGAAAATTTTCCTTCTTCAGACCAAAAGAAAATGAAAAGATTCGGAATGAACTGGAGAAGGCTGTACACATCATATGGAACTGCAAGCTACCTTCACCAAGAGTAAGGCTACAGCCTACCATATGCTTTCTTTAGTACCTTTCCCCCCTTTATTGGTCATTATTGCTAATATTTGTTTTTCGTATTTAACAGTGCATTGCAGTTGATGCTGTTACTGAGCATGATTTGGTATCTGCTCTCAAAGTGTCTGTCTTCCCCGAGATCATCTTCACTAAGGCTGGGAAGATTTTATATCGTGAGAAAGGTAATTTTTATTTAGAGAATGTGCATCTGATTCTTGCCTCTGATTTGCAGCATGTTTTCAGCTCCTTTTTTTTAATCTGTTCAGCAATTCGAAGTGGAGATGAGTTGTCAAAAGTGATGGCCTTCTTTTACTATGGAGCGGCCAGACCACCTTGCTTGAATGGCATTGGAGATAGGCAGGAACCGATTCCATATGTCTCTGCCAATGTCCAACCATGATATTGTGATGAATAGTTTGTACTTTGCATGGGGTTGGTGCTAAACTGTAATATTCCAGGGTTGTTGGTAAATTCTTCCTCCTAACAGTTATTAAGGCTAAGCCACATAGTTTGGAACTTCTTTAATATTTTATTACAGGAAATAGCTTTGTGTGTCAATATATCTCACATATTACAAATTCATATTTAGTCATACACCACAAATTTAAGGGTTTGGACCCTAATACCCTGTGATGGAAATGATGTAGTTTTGCTATGAGTATAGCAATCGCACAGACACACACATATGTACCACATTATTTTGAATTGTGAGAGCTTTGAGTTTAGACTCTTTTAAAACATAATTCATCACTCATTGTGAACACCGCAACAACAGAAGGCTTTGTGGTAATGAAAGCGGAAGGCAAACAGCTGGTATGGGTTTGAGCCATCAAACTTGCACTCGGCCACACCTACAGTTCGTTTCTTTGTGTTGCCTCCAAACACAGTGAGGCATTTTCCTGTACTGTGAGAGACCCAGAAGCGGAACTCGCGGTGATTTAGTTTCTTGGGTGGATTAAATGATTTCCAGTCAGCCTCTGCCAAGTTTTTTAGCGAGCTCAACAACCTAAGGCTAACCTTGCCATGCTCGTCCACAGTGAGGTAAGTTTGTCCACCTGAACATTTGTCCATGTAGTTGCTAAACCTGGGGAGCACACAACGAAAAAGAGCATATGCTTAATGGACTTTTCAGTCACAATGGAGTGTCATCTATCTAGTTTGATATTAAAGTTGTTTGGTATAGTATTACAGCCTGAGATCAAATCACTTTCATTAGGTATGGGAATATACAGAGAAAAGAAAGTGCTACCAGGTTGAGAGCCTCCTTGAGGCATTAGGTAATCGTTTGTCTATATATTATAATCCCATGCTCTTCTTTTGTTCAATTTTTTTTTGGCCTTAGTTTCAGAGAACACATTAAGCGCAAAAATAGGATCACTCACCTGTGATAACCAGAAGCTGAACCAGAAGTAGATTTCCAGCCAAAATAAGCATTTAGTTTTGCTGATTGGCCACCTTTGATATCTGGCACTGAGTAAATTCCTTTGTCATTCAAGTCCACATAGTCGGACTGTAAAGCACCAGCAATAAGAGTGCCATCAAATGCTGTCATATGGGGGTAGGCTTCACTTGCAGGGCATTTACTTGAATCACATTTGGAGCACTGGCTGCAAAGCCGCTTACTCTTCAAATCTGGGGCATCATTTGCTGCATAGGCATTAGGTATTACGAGGACAAGAAGCAGGCAGAGAGAAAGGCAATGCCAATGCCTATCCATGCCCATGGTTGTAGGCTTGTAGGCTTGTTACTTGTGTTACTTGCCTCCCTTTCTCTCACTCTCTATCTTTCTATAGATAAGAATTGTTGGTAATTCCTTAGAAGAGATTGACATGGTTATATACGCTTTCTTGTTCTTGATGTTATCAGATCCCTTTGTATTAATATGATTAATGGAATTTAACTTGCGGATTCCTTATGTTGTCAAGACAATAGCTGGTGATAGGTTGGCCTTTTTTCTTAGTGGTCGTTGTGAAAACTGGACACCAAGTTTTGTTTGCATTCCCTGGAAAAGAAGGAAAGTTGGGCACAAATGAAATTATATATCTTCACAGTAGATTCTTTTCTTTCTTTTCCCATCCCCATTAGTGAATATATATATTGGGCAAATGGGGCGGCCGGCTGATCATTCTCATTCTCATTCTCATGGCAGGCTCAATAATTTAATGACATAAATTAACCTGTTAACATTGTTTGCCAGTTTACTGTCCAAGAAAGTACAGTGTTCGGACATACACACGCATACGATGCTTTCCTATGATCGGCCTATTAGACCTCCGCACCCCTGCGACTGACTTTTTGTTAGAGTGCTTTGATGTTCTGTTAGTCGTATTTGGGCTTGTTGATGCTCAAAAATGGTTTGACACTTTTGGGTCCAACTTAGTGATGATGTCAGTTTCGGTCTAGCGTGAGCTTCAGTAGAGCATCTGCAAGACAAGTGCTCGGTAAGCCCTTTGGTACCAGCCGAAGGCTCTCCAATACTTAATTTAAGATAAGTATGGAGAAAATAGTAATCTGGACAGAGGAATGGCAGGATTGCCGTATGTCGCAATTACCTCCTTTTTAGGACTTGTGCCCTTTTTTTTATAGACTTTGAGAGGCGTGCATCTTGAGTGAAACTTCGATGTGAGAGTGTGGATATTGTCTGAGGAGGCTCCACGTGTACTTGTGAGAAATACTTAAATGGAATGAGTCTTTTGCCTCAATCGGCAATCATGGGTGCCGAGGGCTCTTCTTGCCGATGGTGCTCATGTAAGACGGAGTCGACCGTGGCTTTTTAGTGAGTCATCTTCTTGGATCCCTTCTTTCCACGTGTGGTCTTTTGATTGTTTGGTCAGATACGATGTAAATAGGGCTGAACTTTGCATTTGTTAAAAACAACATGATACTTATCTTTTTATGATACATACATAATTTATAATAGTAATTGTTCTATATATACGTATCATGTAATTGACCGTGTAAAATAAGACTTTAAAAGTAGTCATTCTACACTACTTTTATTTTCTTTTTGTCCCACTTTACAAATGCAATTTCTAATAGCACCCACTCCTCTAATAAAATGAAACTAAAAAAATAAAAATATCGGGGAAGTGCGTAAAGATTAGTTTGGCTAATTTATTTATTTATTTTTGTAGAGTCTTACATCTTGTCTTTTTGACATATTATATACCACACTCAAATTCACCTCTTATTTATTCATACCTCCTACTTATAATTTTGGTGCTTGTGTCATTTTAGTCTTCTATTTGATTCATTTAGCAATCCCCAAGTTTATTGAAGAAAAAAAAGATATATCTTGGAATGACAATCTAATATCATTGCCTTGCCTCCTTTAATCAATCCAAGTTTTGATGATTATGAATGTGTATTCCATCCTCCAACTCCCATTCCTACCAACCAGTAAGACAAGTTTATTCTCAAGTATATTCTCCTGTAAGGGAGGGGAATGATTCTGGGCATATTCCTTTTTATATATATATAACATAATAATAATTCGTCTCAGATAATATATCAGTTGAGAAGTAGAACTTGAATCCACTGAAAGCTCAAAGTTGAGGGACGAAGTGTATAGTTGCAGGCTTGCAGAGCAGTGAATATGTTTGTTTATGGTCATCTACTTATTCTGCTTCAATATTTTTGTACAATTAATATATGACATTATGATTAGATGACCATCAACAAACACATTCATGATATATCTATATGCATGCAATGCAATCTCAGATCTCTGTCTGTCTGTCTCGCCATCATCTCATTTGCTGCTGGTCTTACATTACAGGCATGAAATGAGACTAGCTCCTTCTCTCAGTCTCAGAGTTTGTTCA